GGGGGGTGAGGGGGGGGGGGGCGATCGCGCAGCTGGAACTCTTCAACGACATTATCGCGCCTGAACAGACGCCGCCCGAGCAATGGAGGCGCGCCGCGATTGGCGTCGTCGCCAGGTCTGGCGGCCCGCGCTTACCCAGCAATTAATGGCCACTTGCTAGTCTGCCATTGCGCTACAAGCTGCTGTCTCGACTGCTACGCAGCGGGCTCGAAGCGCTTTTCGACTCGCATCAGTCCCCCGACCAAGCTGGCTCCCGCGGGGGCTCCTGCACAGAGGGCCGCCCTTTCACCGCGACCATGTTGCGCGCGTGTTCCTACGAATGGCAATTGCACTTGTTGGCGGCTGCCATCAATTTCAAACAGGCGCTCGACCGCGCGGGTCGCCGCGCGGGAAGCCCTGCGGGGGCGCAGCGTTCCGGCGCCGCGCGTCGCCCAACTGCGGAAGTTCAAATGTGGACAGGTGGCCGCGGGGTAGACAGACGTCATCAGCAGGAATTGCAACTTCGAATGCGGCGCCATTCGGGAGATCTGATCTGAGCATGCTCAGATCCTATCTCCCCGAGGCTTTGCTCGAGCACTTGCTCCGCCAATTCCAACCAACCTGGGTGCGAGAGGGTTTGGCGCGCAGCTGGGGCTCGCAAAACTTACGCTTCTGACAAATTTACGATTTGCTGACGATGTCCGACTACTCGCCCCCCAGTCTGCGCCAATTCTAGTGCGCCCCGCGCGGCCTCGAGCGCGCGGCCGCGAAGCGCCGTTTTGAGCTGCGCTGGGACAGAACCATAATTTGTTCGCAAACATGAGCAGGAGACGCGGGCAAATAACTAGTCGCGTCGACGTCGACGGGGGCGCGGTCGCCATCCTCAGCGCCGAACAGATCGCCAAGCATTTTGGGCTGGAAGCTGACGCCCCGCGACGTCCACCAGGCTGAGCTTTCCAGCGTACTGCCATGGGAAGTGCCCCGTTCAGCAAACGCCGAGACGAATTTTCAAGCAGCCGATATCCCTTTTTCATAGCAGGCTCAGACTTCAACGGCGCGGCGGCGCCAACTGTCATGCGCGGCTGCACCTCGTGGACGGTCACCAAGGACATGGTTTTAGTATTGAGATCCACCCAGCGACACATGTCACGTCTCATAGTGAACGCGACCAGGTGACGAGGCAGCAACCAGACCGCACCAACCGACGACGCGTCCAGATCCGACCCAGGGCACAGCGACGACGGACCAACCACAAAACAACTCCAACTACATCCGGCGGCAACTCAATTTCGACGACGCCGACGACGGCTCCGACCTTGAACTTTGGGGCGAATTTTTCCGCAGAGCGACATATGCAGCTACGGGGCGGGCAACGCACTCCTGAAGTCGAGGACGGGGCGACGTTGCGCCACGAGCGGAGATGTCGATGGGCAGGGCGCGCAGCAACGCAATCCCGACAGAGGTTGGCCCGACTTCGCTGCAGCCTGAAGCCCCGACGCCCGCGACTCGCGTCATGCTCGCCGCAGACATAGTGGTATTTAAGCGAGAACGCTGGAGCGACGACATCACGCAGCTCCTTCGCTCTACCTATACGACCACCCTTCGGGCGATAAGGAGGTTCGGGGGGGGCAACGTCTCGCTCGATCGGTCCCACTATCGATCCCAGTATCGATCTCACTATCGGTCTCGCTCGATCGATCTCACCCGGTCGATCTCACAATCGATCTCACTCGATCTGTCTCTTTCAATCGATCTCACCGATGATTTGAGTATCGATTTCACGACCGATCTCACTACCGATCTCACAGTCGATCTCACATTCGTTACCACTATCGATCTCACTATAGATATCACAATCGGTCTCACAACCAACGTCATCAGCATCAACATCACCGTCACCAACGTCATGAACATCATATCTATCATCATCACCATGGGGACACCATCATCATCACCTCATCACCAACATCATCATCACCACCATCATCATCTGGACACCGTCAGCGTCACCATCATCATCCACATCATCATCATCGGGACACCATCATCATCATCATCATCATCGGAACACTTCCATCATCATCATCAACACTATATCATCATCACCATGAACATCATCAACCTCATCGTCACCGGGACGCCATCATCAGCATCATGAACAGGCATCCGCACCATCACCATCGGGGCACCATCATCCTCACCAACAACATCATCACCATCATCATCATCGGGATTCCATCATCCTCACCAATAGCATCAGCATCATCACCACCCTCATCGGGCCATCACCATCAAAATCATCATCATCACTTCAGCGTCAGCCTCATCATCAACATCATATCATCATCATCGGACGCCATCCTCGTCATCGCCATCATCAACATCATCATCTTCGGGGCACCATCTTCATCACCCGTTATCAACCGCATCATCACCAACATCACATTTTTCGGGACACCATCATTATCATCATCTTCATCAACATCACCATATCATCATCATCATCAACATCATCCGGATCATCAGCATCATCATCATCATCGTTACCAACACACCATCATTATCACCAACAACATCAACATCAACATCATCATCATCGGGACACCCTCATCACCACCACCATCACCATCATCATTATCATCATCACCAACATCGTCAACATCATCATCTTCAGCAACATCATTATCATCATCGGGGCACCATCATCATCACCACCAACACCATCATCGTCAACATCACCAACATCATCGACACCATCATCATCATCATCATCATCATCATCATCATCATCATCATCATCATAATCATACTCATCATCATCATCATCATCATCATCGTCGTCATCATCATCATCATCATCATCGTCATCTGGGCACCGACGGGACACCGGCGGGACACCGCGGGCCACCGGCCCCCGGAAAGGAATCATTTGGTCCAGCCGCGCCTCAGCCGGAGGCAGGACACCGGCGGGACACCGTGGGCCACTGGCCCCCGGAAAGGAATCATTTGGTCCGGCCGCGCCTCAGCCGCAGGCAGGACACCGGCGGGACACCGCGGGCCACCGGCCCCCGGAAAAGAATCATTTGGTCTGGTCGCGCTTTTGCCAAAAGCAAGACGCCGGCGGGACACCGCGGGCCCCAGGCCCCCGGAAAGGAATCATTTGGTCCGGCCGCGCCTCAGCCGGAAGAGATTGTCTTCTCGCCCGCCCAAGCAGTTTCGCCTCGCCCACACGTGCGGCACGCACGAACACGAAACCGAAACCGATTTCCTGGTAGGGGGGCTCTCCGTTCCACTTCGATCTCACCCCTTCACCTCCGATTTGTACAGGGGACAACAATACAAATTGGGTACAACTTGCCACGAACACTGTATTCAGTCGCTGGAGAAAAACTCCATCGCCCACTCCAACGTTTAACTACTCTTGACTATCATATGTGGCCCATCTGCCCCCCAGCGCGTGCCGGCGCGCGTCCGCGGCACATTTAGGCAGCACCTACTCCGTTGTCTCCTGGCTTTCCTTCCCACCGTTTCTCTTTCTTCTCACCCGTGACCCCGCGACGGCAGGGGAGCCGAAGGAAGGTGCAGTGCGAGCGCGGGGAGAGCGCTACTGCCAAGACCCCATACCAGCCGAAAGGATCAGGCCCCCTGAGCCTGCAAACTTTCCTTCCCCCCCACCCCCCCAGCGAGGACTTGCCAAGCGTCGCGCAAAGGCGCCGCCAAGAAAGCCAGTTGGAGGCACGAGGAGGGAAGTAAGAGCGAAGCAGAAGAGGAGAAGGAGGAGGAGAAGGAGGAGGAGAAGGAGGAGGAGAAGGAGGAGGAGAAGGAGAAGCAGAAGGAGCAGAAGGAAAAGGACGAAAACGAGCAGGAACCGGGGCCCGGAACTCCGTGGCCGCGCATGTGGGGCGGCGTTTTTCTTTGATGCCGCTGCGTTCAAGGCGTCGACGGCAAGGCAGCCTTAAGTCGGGCGTGTCCCTCCATAGAAGGAATGTTCAAAAATAGTCAGATAGTCTGGGGACGATCTGTTTTTTTTTTTCTGTCTATATTTGAATATTGTTTGACGAAGCTCGATTATTCGTCCAAATCCGCCCGTTGGGGGACATGCCCGACCTAAAGGCAGCCTCGCGACACGGGGTTGCCTGACGGGGGGGAGACGGCGAAGAAGTGGGTCAGACGGGGAGCGTCCTTCAGGGAATGCTGCTGCCGTTCCACCGTCTTCCGATGGGTGTCCTCCCCATCCCCCCCGGCGTTGGCCACGGCGGATGGGATCTGTGGCGTCGGGAACCATCATCCTGACATTGCCACCAGCATGGAATTGGACGGACGAGGAAGAGGAGGAGGAGAAGGAGGAGGAGAAGAAGGATAAGGAGGAAAAGGAGGACAAGGAGGAGGAGGAGGAGGAGGAGGAGGAGGATTGCCGGGAGAAGCAAGAGGACGAGCAGAAAACGTGAACATGAGTAGGGGGCATGGGGAGGGCGTTGGAGGCGAATGAGGATGGGAGGAGGCGGGAAGGGAGGGGGAGCAGGCAGGCAGAGGGAGAGAGTACAGGGGAGCCAGGCTGGCAGAGGGAGGAGGGGAGGTAAAGAATGGCGAAAGGGGAAGGGGGAGGGAGCGAGCGAGGGGAGGGAGAAGGGTTGGATGACGGGGGGCGAAGGCAACGAAGACGCCCCCAAGCGGACCCCAAGTCGGCCCAAGACCTTTTCAAGACAACCGACGAGGGCTCCAAGGCTGCCTCAGGCAGGTCCAAGGGAGCCCACAAGGCTCCCAAGAGAATCCCCAGATGGTCCCAGGAAGCCTCCCAAAGATCCCTCACGGCTCCACACTGCCTAAGTTAATGCCTGGGAGACCCCCAAAGCGTCCCAAGTGGGAAACAAGGTGACGTCCAAGAGGCTAGAATCATACAATTCTTTCGGAAAAACACACGCTTTTACCGCATCTCTTTGGTCGGTTTCTTCTGCGCCCGAGATGGCCCAAGAGGCCTCCAAGTCCGCTCCAAGGCGGCCCAAGACGCCCCCAAGCGGACCCCGAGACGGTCGAAGACCCCTCCAAGACAACCGACGAGGGCCCCAAGGTTGCCTCAGGCAAGCCCCAGGGAGCCCCACAAGGCTTCCAAGAGAGGCCTCAAGATCCGCAGCCATCTGGCTCAAACGTGAAACGCCAACGTACGCGCCTCACCGGACTAACTTTTCCTCGAGTCTGCCTTTCTGACATGCACGCCACGATGGCCCGGACGGCGCCTGCCCGAGCGTGCTTGCTGATCCATCTCCTCGCCCACGGCGTCTTCGGCACGACCGCAGCTGCGGAGGTCGACCCTCAGCAGGACACCGTGCTCCTGCAGCTCGGCACGGACGCCACCAGCTTCGACCTCGGCCGCGTCAGTTCCCCGAAGGGTACCACGGGCACTACGGTTTGGACGTTACTGGCTCGGCAAACGTACCCGTATTTATTCAGCAATGGGGAGTGGTCGAAAAACGCCGGAGATCCTGGAAATGACAATTATGCCATTCTGGATCAACTGGAAACTTTTCGCAGCGGCGACGGGAAGTTCACGTTCAAATTGAGCTGGCCAGGTTCTGGATTGCAGGACCAAGTATGGAAGCAATCGCTCAACCCAGTTACTTCAGGGCAGCAGTCAACCAGGCCAGTTGCAGGCTATGAGGCGGTGTCTATCCATTACACAACCCGGTCGTGGGGAGGGTTGGAAGGATCGCAGTACGCGCTCTTGGACGGGAGCGTGGCCAGCGGTGCCTGGTTTTACGCAGTTGGTGCTTTCCATTACTGGAACGGTGGCATTCCCGGCCCTGATCACACTTTAAGTGCCGTGCCCAAAGTCGAGCTCTACGTGGCGGCTTCGCCAACGCCAGCACCAACTCAGGCTGCGACGCAGGCATGCCCGGCCAACTTCGCGATCAGTATTTCGCCTACAAAATGCATCTCTTCTCCCCAGCAGACTGACTCAATTGTGGTGCGGAATTGCGATGACGATGGGCGAGTCCAGCTTGATTGCCAGGACATCGAGCAGCATTGCAGTCAACTGGGAGGGTATTTGGCAACAGAGAATGATTTGGATATGTTCCCATCCGCCCTCCAACAATTCGGGCAGGGATGGTGGATGACACTTTCCAACGGGCTTGATGATGCCGATCTCTTTTATTACTTCAGTGATGGTTCAAAGCAAAGCATGTCACACCGATTCACATGTTGCGGCCATAACAACAGAAAGTTCGCGTGCATCTACGACCTACCCACGCCGGTACCGACGCTGGCGCCTACGCCGGCACCAACGCCCGCGCCGACGCCTGCACCGACCCCGGTACCGACGCTGGCGCCTACGCCGGCACCAACGCCCGCGCCGACGCCTGCACCGACCCCGGTGCCGACGCCTGCCCCTACGCCAGCCCGTACGCCTGCAGCGATTGCTGCTGCAGTCGGGGATCCTCACCTGGTAAATATACACGGGGAGCGTTTTGATCTCCTCAAAGATGGCAGGCACTTGCTGGTCGAGGTCCCACAGTTTGCAGCGGAGAGCGCGACGCTCCTGGCCGTCGCGGCCGTGGCACAGCGTTGTGGCGACGCATGCTCGGACGTTTACTTTGTATCCATTAATGTGACCGGTAAGTGGGCGGACGACGTGCGCGAGGGCGGCTTCCATTACACGGCCAAGCAGCCGCAGGCCCATCGAAAGGGAACGGGCTGGATGAGCTTCCACAGCATTAAATTGAAGACCGTATGGGGCCGTACTGGCGGAGGCATTCCCAACCTGAATATGTTTGCCAAGAACTTGGGCAAGTCGGGGTATCCAGTCGGTGGTTTGCTCGGCGGTGGGGACCATTCCTCCGTCACCAATCCCGATTTGCGCTGCAAGCGCTACCTCGCATTTTAAGTGGACCCAGGACTCAGGACTCAGGACAGAAAATTCATGCGCGAACCAAGCATGTCCATCTTTCGTTCAAGTGCCGTGTGGGAGAAGTAATGCTGGGTTTTTTTAGTTGCGTGGCACTGCAGCCCAAGGTAGCAGCGCATTTTCACGCAGCAATGTTCAGCGAGCTGCAGCCCAAGGTAGCAGCTCGTGTACAGTGCTGGCCGCTGCATCCCCGGCACCTTCTGCTGAGAACACAAGCCATTGTGGTTCTTTCAGCGCAAGCACGCCATGAACGCCGTCTGCAGGCGTTTGGCCTCTGACACTCTCGGACGTAAGCGGACTGCGTTCTTGGGAGGTGTGTGGGACTCATTTTGTCGCCTCATCCTCGCGAGGTGTGAGGAAAAAAAAAGAGAGAGGCCTCACAGGGTCCGAGGACGCCTCTCAAAGGACGTCTCCCAAGAGAGGCCTCAGAGGGTCACAGGATACCTCCTAGGACGACAAAACAGAGAGGCCACGACGATGTCACTATCGACGATTGGTGCGCAGCCCTCCTCATTCCCTTCAGAGGCTTCTGCAACGACCTCCGGCCGCAGTATATCGACCGCATCGTCGACGCAATTGTCACTCTGCGAGCGGAGCCTCAGTGGCTCCCCAGTCTCGACGCAGCCTTCATCAAGCAGTGGGGTCGCCAGCACCCCGAAGACTCGGAACGACTCTTGCGCGACTGGCTGCCTAAGTGGAACCTCCACACCTCGCGTGCTGATGCCCCCATCGCCATCTCAGCTTGGTGCACAGCACTCGGCATACCGTTCGACAAACACCTCTCGGCCGCTCGCCTGTCCGACTTCATAGAGAAGATCGTCGACCGCGTCCGCCTTCTGCTGTGCATTCCAACATGGGAACTCCCTCTCCGTCTCGCCGCGGTTGTCCCCTACCGCTCTCTCCAGCCGTCCCTGCCTGCATTCACAGGTCGGGGTTCGTGGCAACATCAGGTTTCTCGACAGCGGGCTCTCGGGGATCCCTGGGCCCTGGGTCTGCGCCCCGGGCGCTCCTCGAGCACTCGGGCGCAGCGCAGGCCCAGAAGGAGCCTGCGCCATCACCCACGATTGTCACGGCACTTCCAAGGAGGGCATCGATCATTTTGTGTCGGGCCTGTCCCTCTACAGGAGGAATATTTCAAAATAGTCAGAAAGTAGTCCGGGGACGGCTGTCTAAGTATTTTTTACCATGTTTGGATGTTCTTTGACTATGTTTAACTGTTCGTCCCAAATCCGCCTGTGGGAGGACATGCCCGACCTAACGATAATTGTTTGTTTCGTTTCTCGTCCTTTTAGGTCCTCTGTAGGGCTCTGGGGTCTTCCAGGGACCTTCTTGAAGCCTCCGGAGGGATAGAAACGGCGCTGTCGTCATCGTCCTGTTCCTCCGTCTCTCCCTCCTCCTGGGAGGGGCGGGGGCGATGCGGCAGGATGAGACGGGCAGATCAGCATTGTTCATTTCCGCTAGCTGCAATTCTGATCCTCCCTTTGCAGCACATTTAAACCTGACGCTGTCAAGCTCGTATCATGCAATATCGAATCGGAGTCTTGCCAGGGTGTGTTAATTCAGCTCAGGACAGTTCATCTCCATACAAATCAATCCACCTCAGAGCGAGGCGCTTCAGGGGGGGGCCAGCCACAGGGCGGCGACGATGTTATGAGATATGATGAGTCGTCTTCGAGGATCGAAGGAGTTGATATCTCTTCGGCGGAAGGCGGCGGAACCAACACGAGGCCGTCCCCGTCGGCGGAGGGCCGGTCGTCGCAAGTCGGCGGGAATAGCAATCGGCCTCCCAAGAGATGGCAAGGTTGTTTCGCTAAGGATTTTTGAGCCCGCCATGCCACCTCGTCCTCATTGCGTCAACCTGTGCCGCTCCCCCCGCCAGGCAAAATCTAGATGTTTCCCTTTTCTCCTGGAGACGTGTCCCAGGATCCCAAGGCGTCGGCGTGCACGTGCACTCGCTCCTCTGGCTTCGGGGGATCCCTCCCTAGGGCCACCTGCCCCCGCATCCCAGTCGTCGGCGGGCACGTGCACTCGCTCCTCTGGCTTCGGGGGACCCCTCCCTAGGGTCACCTGGCCCCAGTATCCCAGTCGTCGGCGGGCACGTGCACTCTCTCCTCTGGCTTCGGGGGATCGCCCCCTAGGACCTACCCCCCCGGAGGGGGGGACCGATGCGTCAGGAGGGCAACTTGTCAAAGGCTCCTTGCATTTCAGGGGCGGGGTGTTGGGAAGGGCCTTTCTAGGGGCCGATCCCCTCTGAGAGTCCCCTTGTCCCCCCTCTTCACCTCCCCCGATTATGCCTCTGTCGGGGATAGCCAGGACCCCGGTTAAGGGGTGCCGGCTAGTGATTGGGCCCCGAGGTCCAAAATGTGGACTGGAATCGCCAAGCCAGGTCTGCCGTAGCTGTGTGTTTTTCGGGTGACGGCAGTTCCGGTCAGTGGAAGGGGGCGGGGGGCGTCGTTCCGCAGTGCAGATCATGACACCAGGTCCCGCTATAGACCCAGTCTTGCCGACGCCCGACTCTGGGGCGAATGGCGGAGGGCCCGAGGTCCCAAGGAGGCCCCCGGGGCTCCAGTGGGGCCCTGCCACAGCCGGAGGGCGGCCGAGGACCTCCCTCCCCCGGACCGCCCGGGGGCGCGGCACCCGCCCCATATATGCACCCTCAAGGCATCCCAGGGACCTCTCGGTGCCTCCCAGAGTCTCCCTGACAGGGCTCGTTTCGATTCCTCCGATTCGATTCGATTCGACTTCGATGGCTTCCGATTCCGATTCGATTCGAATCGCGTATCCGATTCGGGCTCCGGTCATCTAATGGAGGCCTACCAGGCTGCCGACCAGATTCGTTTCGATCGCCGATCCGACTTGTCGACTCGACTCGATCCCCCCCGAGATTCGACGTAGCGAAGCATGGCAACATCGTCGGCCATCACGCCGGGAGCCCCGGACCCCATCTTTCTGCGCCAGTTTTCGAGCCCAGGCGGTCTGCGAGGGCCCCCGGCCCCGGCGGCTCAGCGCACGCGCCCGGCCCGAAGGAAAAGGGGGGCCGCCGGGATCTGAGGGCTCACAGGGCCAGGCAGGGCCTCCCAGGGGCCTCCCAGGGGCCTCCCAGGGGCCTCCCAGGAGCTCCCCGGGCCTCCCCTCAAGTCGGGCACGTCCCTCTACAGGAGGGATCTATTCAAACATAGTCAGAAAATATGATGGGGAGGATTGGTTGTACCATTTTGGAACGTTTTTGGAATGTGTTTGGGATATTTGCAATGTTTGGTCCAAGAAATCCGCCTGTAGGGGGACAGGCCCGACCTGAGCCTCCCCATGGTCCGCAGATGCGCCCGCGAGGCCCAGAAGAGATGCCGACAGGGCGGCCCCCCGAGCGGTCGGCCCCACCTCTCGGGTTGACCCGCAAGGGAGTTGCCAACTCCCGCGCGCATGCTCAAAATCCCTCAGCAATCGTCCCCCCGGTGTGGTTTTTTGAGGCGCCTGTTTTGCAACTGGGGGGGTCTGGTTCATTAGGGCGCTTTCTCTGGATTGGAGCCTAGGGGGTCCGGTCTATCAACCCGTCGAAGAGTCAAAGAGGGGGGTCTGGAATTTTAGGTCGCATTTGGAGGGGGTCCGGTTTTCTGGGGGAGGTCGATTGATAAGGGAATTTGAGTATTGTTTGAGCTAAGATAGGGTAGGAGGGCAGGAACATCGTTGTTGTCATCTGTAGCCGGTTGGCTCACAGTGGCGGGCGTGAGGGAGCACAATCGCCCAGAGCTCTTCCCAAGGGAGCGCCACGTAAAAAACTGACTCGGTGCGCAGCAGCCTGATATTGTGTCGGGGTCCAGCGACAAGGGGGTGGTGCAACAGATTTGGAGCAATAGATTTGTGGGGTTGCAATACGTTTGGGGCGTGCAATACATTCCGGGGCGCAATTGTATTGCTGGACTTTCGCGTGCGACGCACTACTTGCAATCCAATGCAATACAATACAATACAATGTAATACAACGCTCTGGCGCAATACATTTGCAATACAATTGCCCCAAATCTGTTACACCACCCCCTTCAGCTGGACACTTTCCTGGGTCACCCAAAACCTCCCCCTCCTCCGCCCGAGGGGCACCGGTGGCAAGCGCCGCCGGTCGTCGTGCCGCCCGCCGCGGCAGCTGGGACGCCGCAGGATGCGCGGGGGCCCTCCCGCGTCGGCGTGGGCCCCCCCACAGACCTCCTCGCGTTGCGAGAGGATATCGGGGCGGGAGGTGTTTCAGCATTGTCGGCCTCTGGGGACCCTCATCGGGCCTCGGCACCGCCAAATCAGCCTGGCGAAGGGCCCGTTGTGTGAGTACCTGAATTTTTGAATATCTTTTTCGGTGGCGTTGCCTAAGGGGCCGCGAACCCGGTGAGTGGTGTGCCGAAATGGGTGCGGCGGACGCATGCGGACGGTGGCACTGGGGCCTTCGGTGGAGCTCCCTATGGGGCCACACAAAACGTGTGAGGGGGGTGTCGAAATGGGTGCAGGGCTCCTGGCCTCGGCACCGTCGAAAAACGACTCGGGGCGAAAAGCCGGCCCCGGGGAGGGGGTCCAGACCTCGGGGGCCGGCGTGGTGAAAACGTCGGAGGTCTGGGCTGGCCGCCCAGCGCCTCGAGGCGATCGTGGCAGCCAGCTGTTCTTAGTCGCAGGCCTCTCGGGGCCTGTTCGGGGCTCCCGGGCCATCAGTCTGGATGGGGCCGGAGGCATCGCCGATGCGCCTCGATGTGGAGCCTGATTTTCTCCGCCGCGCTGGCGTCGCCGATGCATCAGATCTGCATCGACGATGCGGCGAGAGCCTCCGCCCCCATCTACTCCGCCCCCATCCGGGAGGTTTCTAGTCAAGGGCCTAGTCATAAGGAGTAACCAGCCTTGGGAAAAAGTCGGGTAGTCTGGGAGCACATCTCTCGACAAGAATCAGCCGCCAGATGTCTGGGTCTGCTGTGGGTCCCACATCCCCATCAGTCTCTCCCTCCTTGTGTCCCATCCTCCCACTCCGCCCTCCTTCCTCCTCCTTTTGCCGCTCCTCATGCTTGCTCATCATCCCCCTCCTCGTCCTCGTCGTCATCCACGTCTTCGCCTCTTCGTTGCTCGCTCCTCCCTACGTCGTAATATCTCCTCTTCCTCCTCCCTTGCCCTACCTCCTTCTCCCTCCTTGCTCACTCTCAATCCTCCTTGCTCACTCTCAAGCCGTTGTGACGCAAGGCGGACCATTTTGGCAACCCCAGCGCCAGACCCCCGCGCGCGGTGCTCAAGGGGGGCTCAGTCACCCAACATCCGTTTCATTAGTAGATCTGTGCAGGTAAGCGGGGTGATCTCTTCATGGCAGCGTCAGGTCCAGGGCCAAGGCGTTGGGCAACTTGCAAAAGGTGCCAGGCATCGGAGTGGAGCGGCATCCTCGAGAGCCGCGGGCTACAAAGCTGAAAGTCCCTCTT